AAAAAAAAAAAAAAAAAAAAAAAACCCTGGCAGCTTGCAATGTATGTACTCTTCCTAAAGTCATTTTGATGATTTTTAATATTAATACTAATCGTCAACCTATTTCTCACTTGGGTTAACTATTGGAAAGGTCTTAATTGTTTTAGTTCAAGACATTAACAGTTTTCACAATTATTAATTATGACCATTTATATTTGTAATAATAAAATACATTTATACTTCTGCAGACATAATTTCAACATGTAATGCACCTAAGATTTTCACCTCGTAATATCTTGGACCCTTAAGGTATTTGAAAGCAGATATTCAAGTCCAAGGGGCATACTTTGGTTGAATTACCAATAGGAGGCTGATGTGATCAGATGGTGACTAGGAGTGCCCCTAAAGGTGATGGCAGCCGCCCAAAGCCTTTGGCTGAATGCAGGGTCAAAGCTGAACTTGGCTGTATCCCTACAAGATATGGAGGGGAAAAAGAACAGCAGAATCATGCTTCCTTTAGTTCATGTGCAGCACCTGGAAGAGTGCTTCATGAACTGGCTGCTGGGTGGTGGTCTTAAAGGGGAGTGTTAGTGGAGTAGAGGAGAGAGGAGGAAAATGGAAAAGGAGAGCATGTGAACAGTGTACCCTGCGTTCCTCTTGGCGCCTCTTCAGACTGAGTGCACATAAACCTGTTTCTTCTCTCCTTCATCCCCCATCACATATGCCTCTTGCATTTAGGGTGAGGCCCAGAGAGCTAGAGAGAGACCATTAAGTGTATGAAAGCCAGAACCAAAGAAAATAGACAACAGCCTTTCTCAAGCAGTGGTGTAGAGAATTTGACCATGGCAGGATTTAAACATCTAGCAGTTCTGAGAAATCATGCCTCCAAGAGGGAGAGAGAAGCAGGGGCAATGTAATAGCTTATATATTTTATATATTAATAGAATATATTATAACATTATAATGATATATTATATAATTATACATATTGGTATTATGGTTATAACAATGCTGTTAATAATTATATGATTATATAAGTAGTAATATTAAAATGTTACTATAATATATATCAAATATACTTATTTATGTAATATATATATAATAAAGTCAGCATCATTCTGACTTAAATAGGAGGTGGGTTTCTGGATCTTAGGGAAAGAAGAATTTCTAAATTAGTACTCTCCACTTTGTGTGTATTTCTAAAAATACTACAATTTAAAAAATATTTTACCCCATTTTTATTTTTGATTAACAGTTTACAACATACTTTATTACATATTGTCATTGTCCCCAAGACCATCCTTTGATAGGCTCAGCCTCCATGAGGTCCTGGGGTGATCGAATCCAGAGCATTCTCTGACAGTCTTGGGACACTTCACTGGCCTCGAGATGCTCATGGAAAAATGATGCCCACGTCTTCCTCAAAGGAGTAGATGCACCCAGAAGCTTCCAAACTGCATACCACAGTATATCATTTAGGCCTAATCCAAACAGGCAGGAATAGAGAACTTCTAACATTTCTCTTCTGGGATAACCTTTGGGGTCCTTTTCCTATAATTTATAGCACCATTAAGTAGCACTGGAAGAGGCCTATGTGCATGGGGTGGGGAGCTGAGCAGTCCCACACATCTTGGCTCAGAGTGACATAAATCTTGCATTGGTGGGGGAAGTGGAAAGATGCAGGTTAAAGAGTACACAGTTGCAGTTATGCAGGATGAATAAGTCTAGAGAGCACAACATGAGGACTATAGTTCATAATACTGTATCGTATACTGGCAATTCGCCAAGAGAGTAGGTTTTAGGTACTCTTACCACAAAAAAGAAAGGTAATTATATGAAATGATTTGATTGTTAATTTGCTTAAGTGTAGTAATCACATCACTGCATATATCAAGATAAGTATATCTAGACATCATGTTGTACACCTTAAATATATATAATTAAAAAATATTTTTTTAATTTTACATTGATCACAAAAGAAACTATAAACCCAAAGCAATTTTTTAAGAAAAGAGCGAAATGCTTTTTCTAAAATGAGATGAGGCTGGCCAGTTAGCTTGGTTGATTAAAGCACTGTGTTATAATACCTTACCAGCCAGCCACCAAAAAAATTAGATGAAAGCAGGTATCACCACTCACAAAGACTTCTGACTAAGGAATCAAAAAGATGTAGAGGAAATGCTGTCTTCCCTTTATGCTGGATGAGTGTCTTCCTCTTTGTCATGTACATATTAGCTCTGGTTTTACATCAGGATACTGATACTCAGAGAGATTAGCACCGGCCAAAGGTTTTGTTGCCACTAATTGGCAAAACTTGGACTGAAATCTGAGCCCACTGGCCTCTGCCGATAGTCTGTGGGCGTTAGCAGGACATTTGTACCCTTTGAGGTGGGTAGAATAGGGCTATCACTAGTTTCACAGATGAGAAACAAGGGCTCATGGAGATTAAGGGCCCAGCCTACGTGGGGCTCCTCAGCCTGTTACAGTGGTGCAAGGACTGGTTAAGCTTGTAAGGTTTATCACTCAGCTAAAAAAGGAATATTAGAGGTTGAAGGAAATTAGATTCTAAAATAGCTCATCTTGGCTGAAAAATAATCTAGGGATTTAGGTTTAATTTGGATCACCAATATGAAATGTGCCCCATGTGTACAAACTGCTTTTTAAATTTATTTTGTTTCCTACTAACAAGATGTTACAAAAATAGTACCAAGTGTTCCTTTGTATCATTTGTCCAGCTTCCCCTATGATAACGTCTCAAGTAACCAGAGTTCTTTATCAAAACTGGGAAATCGATATTAGAATAAAACCACTAACTCTAGTCTTTTGCAGATTTCACATGGGTGTGTGTGTGTCTAGGTCTGTAAAAGTACTGCATGTATAAGTTCTTATAGCCAGCATCACGTGTGTGTGTGTGTGTGTGTGTGTGTGTGTCTAGGTCTGTAAAAGTACTGCATGTATAAGTTCTTATAGCCAGCATCACGTGTGTGTGTGTGTGTGTGTGTGTGTGTGTGTGTCTAGGTCTGTAAAAGTACTGCATGTATAAGTTCTTATAGCCAGCATCACGT